ATTACAATGATGATTACACATCAGTGCATAAACCAGTTAATATATTTTTAGGGCTGCAGCAATTATTTTCACGATCAATTAATCTAAATTATTTTGCTAATTAATTCAATTGGTCATTTAATCTATATTATGTTTACAAAACAGTGAAAAAAGCCAATTATAATTTCTCTAGGTCCACTGTGGCGCCTTCAATGTGCTTGATTTGACTGAGAAGCTGAAAACTGAAAAAATGTGTCATTTCTGCATAAAAAAATAACAAACAACTTAATCAATTACAAACAGTTTGGCTGATCAACTTTCGATTAATCAACTAATGTTTCAGCTCTATATATATATTATTCTGAAATGAACCATACTGCATAGTCAGAACTTTAAATATATTCTGAAGCTATTACCTCTGTACTTAGTTAAATGAAAATTTTAATGCATGACATTTACTTGCAACAAAGTAATTCTACACTGTTATTGTTAATTTGCCTTAAATAAAAGACCTGCACTTATTTCACTGCTGAACATTATCAGCTTCATAAAGGAAAGATTTGTTAAAGGGACAGTTGTAGTAGACTGCATTAGACTGTACGGTTTTAACTGGGTATACTGGGTATACTTGATACACTGGCAACTGAGTGCAACTTAAAACAGCTGCATCTCTCACGGAAGACATGCACACAGGCCCGGTTCAGACAGGGACCCTCCCCCTGACGTACTACATCTGCGTTTATTAAGTTGGCTAGCTAAGCTAACACCAGCCAGTTATTATTTTAAAGGTAGTCTAAAACGGAATGAATCGTAGTTAGAGGACATATGTTGAACTCCGTAATCTCACGAAAGGCCGAGTGTTTACAGGCTGCAAGACACCAAAATTAACATGGACCCTCGAGCTAGTTAAATGCGGCTGTCGCCGAGTTGAGCAACATTAGCCACGAAGCTAACATCAGCTGACGGCACAGACACATCATCAAGTTGACACGCTCCAGGTGGCCGCACATTAAAACCAGCATCACAATTATGCTGTAATGTTACTCACCCGTGTGCGCATACGAAACTGGCACCTTCCATATGCTGAAATGGGCCGATACAGATGAAAAGTATTTTCCGAAAGCTAAAGGCAGGATGTACCACCGGTAGTACCTGCTCGGCAGTTCAGTTTTGGGGACTCCCCATGCCCGCAACAACGGCGGGAGGAAGACGACGACAGATATAATGTGAAACAGGGAGACTGTGACCGGGTACGGGAATCCATTGAGGATAATTTTGTTGATGACGTTGCCCCCCGAGCTGACCGTGTACCAACACACACACAGAGAGACTATCCGGATCCCTTCCCTGACCGGGGTCCGCTCCACCTCAGCCATCTTCCAGCGCGGAGTGACGACTCACCGGCGGTGTGCCGTCTGGCTGCACCGGGGGGAGGGCAGCGCTGCTCAACAGGCAAACTACCGACAACGAAACACACGACTTCCGGCCATAGACTTCAAAATAGAAGACACGGAAAATTTGAGAACATTCTGTACATAGGAATGTTCTTGAGTGCATAAAAGATTGGGAAGCCGTCGTCAAATTGTATGTTTTGTTAACTTCTAAAGTGAGAAGTAAATCGCAGACAGATATAAAATGTCCCTTTCTTCAAATGTTGTTAGTTTACCTTTCTTAAACTTCAAAAAGAACCAGCGCAGATCCTGCACTGTGGAGATTGTTTTTTTTAGATTAATAATTGCAAAAAAAAGTAAGAAAGTCTTTCAGGATTCATGTATATTGAAAGAGAAGACAAACAATCACAATTCTTTGAGTTTTTATTAACACATAACATGTCCACTTAAAGGACTAAGTAGCAAATATATTATTTTCTGCATTCAACTGAACAGAAGGCTAATTTTTGTACTTGCTAAGGCTTTGTCTTTAGGATAACGCAGGTTTTTATAAGGCAAACAAAAACTAAAGGAATGGTATTAAGTACTTTATCCAGCATGTCATTTTAGATCTTCATTGTTTCTGACAGTACAAAGATGCAGGATAGTGGAGAAATCTGTTCTGCAATTTCTGCTCATATTTCACATCTGAAATACATAAAGGGAAAAGGCAAGTATAAAATAGTTGACATTATCAAAATGTGTCATTTTGTAATTTTTGTTCCTGTATCAGCGGGAATAGTCTGGAATATCACTGCTGCATCACTGAAACAACTCTGAATGAAGACAAATGATCATGTAGTCTGAATGTATATATCAATCCTAAAAAGAATATGCAAATATAAATGAATCACATTTTTATCAGTATACATTGTTGTAGGTCATTATAAGCCCTTTCTCTCCTCGCAGTCACATCTGGCAGTCTCATGTCACTTTACCACTATTCAAATGCAAGAAAAAAATTCAGATGTTAAAGTTAGAAATCTTAAGTGATTTGTCAATTTTTCTGTGCGAGACAGCTGTGCAACAGTTAATATCTATGGTAATGACAGTTAGCATTCATTTCAGCTTTGACAGCTAAAAAGCCTTGTTTAAGATACATAAGCAAATGCCAATAAAAATCCTATTTGTAAATGTATCTGTTTAATGTTTGCCCCAATTTTGTACTTCACTTGGCCACAGATTTTCTAAACATAAAATTTAAACAGCAAGTAAAAAAAAAAAAAACATTGTAGACTAAATGTGAGTGGATGCAGAAAATCCATTCACATTTCCATTGCCATGTGGGTTAAGTTAAACCTACAGTATGCAACTTTTTCAAATATTTTTGCTGTAGAAATCTGCTCCAAAACTTTTCTTAATGTGGAGAGATGCCGTCGAAGCCTCCTGTGACCCATTGAACAGCACTGGCAGCAGTGCAGAGATATTACCTTCTTACAGCTTTTGAGCAGGATTGTCCTCTCTAACCAATCAGAGTTTCAATTATTTCTGCTTGATCAGTAAGTTTTGTTGCGTTCTCATTTATTGTACTTTCATATGACAGATATCTTAAGAGTTTGATTATGGCAGATGGTAGGACAGTGTAGTGGAACAGGGACAGGAGTGCTGGGCGGAGCAGAGTGGGCTTATTTGGAGTTTCATGCTAGTGCTACCTTAAGTTACATATTGTAGCATTAAGATGAATAAAATGTAGCCGTGCAGTTTAATATCATGTTTGTCTCCCATACAAGGAATGACAAGTATTGGAAACTTCATCTGTACAGTTACTGAACACCGACAAGTAAATCGGCATATAATGCATAGCCTTTTCCCTTCATGCTGTCCTCACACAATGACAACAACTCATAAATACACTGATTACACCCTCTGTGTTCCAACACACACCCAAGCAGGAGGCATATTTATTCCATTTTCAGCAATGGTGCAAAACAGCAGCTTGCACTTGAAGAAAGTTTCACACATCTCGAGTTGCTGCACTGTACAATGCAGGCACCTTACACCTTCCTATTTAGAAACCTGTCCTCAGTTTCAGTACAAACACACATATGGCAGTATGTTCAACCTGCTCTCATCTCCGTGTGGGTCTAAGGAGATGCACTCTGTCCAGTCATACCAATTACCTTTTGTGTCATAGCAACCGTTGACCCCAGCCCAGTGTTGTGAGTGTAATCTGCTCAGGTCTTCACCACTGACCTCTCTGCTAACCCCCAGTAAATTCTTGGCTGGTAGCTCAGATGCCAACACATGCATTTTCGTGGTGTCTTTACTTTGGTGTTCCTCTTTTTTGAAGAACTCTGTCATGAAAAAGTGTGCACCCGGGGTGCAGGTGCCTGACGACATCAGCACATTGCTTTGCTGGTTAAGGTACGACTGGATGATTTCGCTCCTCGATAGCTCTTTCCAGTCCGTCTGCTGGAAGGGACTAGAAGGAACTGGAGGATTCTGCTTCAGTTGTTCTGAGCACTGAGTTTCAGTTCTGTGGCCCAGTCTGACCTCCCTCTCCTGGCAAGACTCTTTGTGAAAGGAGGGTTTGATTTGCCCTGTTAGAGGATCAAATGTCAGTCTCCTGTCTTTTAACCTGACTGGTTTAGTACCGTCGTCTACAGTCTGTCCATCTAAATTTACCACATAGTCTTTAGGCCTGTATCTCTGTCTTTTTGTTTTCTCTGTATTGCTAACAGCACCATCACCTTCTGAACTGACCCCGTTACTGCAGGAGGAGGCAGTTGTGTTGTAAACAGAGGTGCTGGAAGGCCTGCTTTGAGAGTCCAAATCTGCAGACCGTGAACTGTCTGTGTAAAAACCCTGAACACAAGGCCCCAACCCACAGGTGTCCTCAGACCCAGGTCTCACAGTGGAGCTAGAAATACTCTGTGCTTGTGGTGCAGTTTGTTTGATAACACCTTGCTGCTTTGGAGTTTGAGGACTGTGCAAGGAACAGCGAGGGCTTTTCAATCGATACTGCGCCCCAGAGGCAGCTTGCCACTGTCTGGCTTGCTGCTGCAGAACTGATGCTTTTAACAAAGAAGTGATAGAAGGCTTGCTGCATCCTGGGGCACTTGGATGAGGTTTTACAGCATTGACAGGGATTTTATTTACCCTGTCATTGTCCAAAGGCTCAGAAATCTCCCTGTCTAAAGGGTGATGTGCACAAGTGTCTGTAAAAATTTCAGAGCTACCACCAATTCCACTGGTTGGCAGCTGTTTGGAATTTTGTATTTTATCATTAGGAGTAGTTTTGAATATCTTGGCTGGTAAGCGCTGTCCTTCTTTCTGGTCACCTTTACGTTTCCTGTTGCCCAGTTTTTCCACCCTCGGGGAGCAGCAGTTGTTGAAGTCATTTCTGTTCTTCAGCTCAGGACCAGTTTTACCTGATGGTGTCGTGGTAGCTGGAGTAGAGATGCAGGGATAAGCACCACCACTGGAAGACCATGATGCACCAGTGTGGTCTTTGGACAACACTTCACCCTTTCCTGGCTCAATTAGCTTTTGCCAGTTTCGTAGGAGCTTCTTCGCCCTTTTGGCAAGATCCTCATTTTTGGTTTTCTTCCTGACATCGTTGATGAGTTTGCCAAGACGAGTTTCCTTCAAGGAGATAAGATTGAGGTTATCAACCTGGATTCAACTGCATTTTATTTTGAATGCACATACTGTAGTTCTGAACGTTACCTACCTCCAGTGTCTCTTTGGTGATGGGATATTTCTCCAAAAAAGAGATTACCTCCACAACAACCACCATGTTACGTATCTGCTGAAAAGACACATATATCACAATCCTCAGACATCAAAGTGCTGTCAGCATTACAACAACACTGTCCAAGTACAGCTGTTTTTATGTCAATGTTACAGTTTGTGGGTAAAGAGGATCAAGGGGCTAATATGTATGTGTTCTCCAAACAGAGAAAGAGAGACTATTAGAAGGTTGGCACTTAATTTGAATACGCTTTCAAATGTGCACCTGCATATCAACAGACAATGTACTCATGCTGGTTTCACACTCAATATGACAAACTGAGAACACATGCAAATGTGCCATTCTTCCCACAAGATGTTTGATCTGGAACATAGCGGTCCATTCACTTGAATCTGAGCCTGCTCTGAGCCAACCAGGGTTTGGTGGTAGTGATGGGGCATTGTTGGTAGGTAGCTTTTCAACTGTTCCCTGGACAAAACAAGATATCTGTGGATGATACCGTCATCTACGTAGCCTATAACATAGGGGCCCTTTCACTGTTTTCTCAAGTTTTATAAACCAAATGATCGATGAAAATAATTGTTAGCTGCAGACAAAGGTTATAGACAAGACACCTTGAAGTGAACACATCAGCTCATTATTTTGTGTGTGTGTAAAACATTGAGTACAACAGCACAATATATATTGCATATTCATACTGTACATTTCCCCAGGTTGGCAAATATCTCTGACTTTAGTCAACGCTGATGATGGTATATTTACAGTACTTCTCAAAGACAGGCAATATCAGTGGTGCATAGGAAGTGTACAGCATCCTCCATAAGGTTTGGTGTTAGTGTCACAGTGCAAGGCTGGAATGCCAACCACAGAAGGCAGGCAACTGTCCAGGGTAATAATTGTTCAGTGTAAAAATGTTACAGAAAATTATTACAATTCTTCGGCATTCAAAATTATTGCCAATTAATTTTCCATCAACCGACTAATCATTTCAGCTATAGAGCACTGGCTGATTTCTAAGTGCATGCGAAAATGATCAAACTGCAACAGTGGAGCTAAATACTGTAAGGAGACCAACAACTGTTTGCTCTGGGTGCTGGTCCAGTTTGGCTCTATAGTAGGTTTGTAACATTGCATTTATCAGCTAGTTATATATGGTAAATCGAGATGTCATTTTAACGTATGCGAGTTAAATTTTGAGCTTACTATTACGTTGCCCCCATTAATTAACGTCTCTGTCACAAAAGCACAGTTAACGCTACCAAGAGATACCTATCCGGTAGCTCGGTTTAACAAGTTACAGTCGTAAAACACTTTGCATTTAGTTGTAACATTACTCAGATATGCTAGCCTTGAGCTACATTAGCCAACAGCATTGGGTTAGCCAGGTTCTGGAGTAACTGACATAGTTATTTTCGCTAACTAGAGATGTTAGCCTGCTAATTAACAAGCAAATAATAGCTGACTGCTTCCACTTTGTCAACCCTCTGTGGCGACGTAAAGCAGGCTTCACTTTGTTCCTTGGAAACCAGCGGACATACTCACATTGCTCTGGCCGTCGATGGCCTGTAGCAGCCGGTCTCTCATCACTGGGGGGTGGCTTTAGCCGCTGTCATCGCCTGGCGGTGCCGTGGGTCGGTCAGGACGGACTCAGACAGTAGAATCCTCCAAAGAGGCGGCAGTGGGAAATCTGCCGACGCTCACAAGTCCGACGGAAGATCTTCTGCGGAAGCAGGCATCATGTTGTATGATGCTTTTTTTTTTTTCTTTGTTTTCCCTCGCCACCGTCACGTATTTTATTTGGACGAGGAGAACCTGAACACCTTCTTCAGACATCGGCTAACCCCCTCAGCTGGCAGCCTCCTTATCTGTTTTATGTAAAGCCCTGGCGAACAGCATGATGGGAGAATTCCACGTAACTGGCGCCATTACGCCACACTGAAAACAAATAAATAAATATTAGTTATGTACAGCAAAAGGTTTTTATATTTTCTTTAAGTTGATTTATTTTTTATCCCGACACATTTTTTCCTCATAAGTTTTAAAAGTGTTTTATTTTATAATTAGACTAGGTAATAACAACCTGAACATAACAATTTGCAATCATAATCAAAATTATAGGCACCAGACAGAGCTTTAAAAAATCCAAAAAAAGAGTTAACAAAGGAGTATACTAGGGGTTTGCACGTAGAATATGAGCAGCTGTCAGAATTTGCAGTCTTTTGCCATTTTTTTTTCTCCATAAGGATTAGGGATGAAAGGAAGTGAAAAAAGATCTTATGAGAAAACAAAAGGTAAGAAAGGATGGTTTAGTCTTCCTAGATCTTGACTTTTATAGCTAAAACTGACCAAGTAGCCTATTGTTTTAACATTTAGGACTAGTTCATGTCCTTTAAGATGATACCAAATTATGTTTTTTGAGGTACAACCTGGAAGTTTTTAATTTGTTTTGGATGTGTAGTTATAGCCTACTCATTATATTAATAAAAAAAAAATACTATACTAAATATTTTTCTTTAAATATGTTTGGCCCATATTTGATTTTTATTTTTTATAAATTAAATTTTGGCAAAATTTCAAGGCAAATGTTTTGGAAAATGCCACATTTATGAATGTAGTCCTGCTAATATAAAAAATATAATCCTATTATGGCCTATGAGACTCTCACTAAGTAAGAAAGGTCATTCTTGTATTAACAGCAAAAACTACAGCATAGCATTCATTAGAAGTATCATTCCATCATTTTATCATTTATGACACTGACAAAGAAACAAAGTCTTTCAAGTGTATCAACCACATCACAGCAGTCACAAACATTCAAGTCAGTTAAACACTCAATAAGAAAACTGTATTTTTACTGTTAAGAACAAGGACACATTTACATTATGACACACAGACTTACAGCACATGTGCCCCAGAAGAGAGGACAAAGGCTTCTTTTTTAATCTGAGGCTGCACTGAAATATTTTGCAGTGACACACAAGAGTACAGCTGAAGTGTAAATCTGGAAAGGTTTGTGCCATTTACCACCAGCAAATTAGATGGTGGAGTTCATAAAGTGACAAAGATCATTCTGCCTTGTCTGTTGAATCCAACTGAACTCTGTCAGCTGTGCATGTATAAGGAACAAAAAGATGTTTCAGCAAGATATACTCAGTAAATCAAAGGTTCACCACCAACTTTGACAGCTGCATGTGAGGTGTTAAAAATGTTAGTGAAGACTGTCCAGCCTTTCAACCCTGGCATTTCAACTGAAGCACCCCCCACACCCCATTTTATATATTGAAGTACAGGGCACATGGCAACACATATCCAGCACAGTCAGGGGTGCTGGTATAGTTACAGCTTAAACAAAAAAGTAACAACCTCTATTAGACAAAATAAATGTAGTGATTCATACATTCCTATACAGCCAGAAGGAGATTTTAGATTTGAGGTGGCAAAGAACATAATTGCATAATTACAATTAAAAGGGCAAGTAACAGAAAAGTTCTATGAAGGAGATGTTTAGAGTATCCATCTTGAAAAAGTCATCATCCCACTGGGAGTATGTTCACCGCAACTGCCGATCATGATCCAAACAGTCTGTGAGGTATGAAGACGTTCAACCAGTTAGCAAAGCAACAAATTCAAACACAAGGTTATAAAGAGGTAAGATGTAGAAAAAAAATCTCAAACTAAGTGGAGTTGAAGCATAAGGAAAGAAAGTGGGCTTAAAAAAACAAATTTAAATAACTAACATGTCACATTCCTACTTGAAACTATTGACCAAAAATCATTCTGTATGCTTCTTAATGGGTAATAATTGGAAATAGAGGCCTATTTTCTTCTTGTGACAGAGACATTGTTTCATAAGTCAGAAGTAATCAGAAATCAATAATTTAGTTGCTGTCTAATGTAATTCCCTGTTATAAAATTGTGTAAGTACATTTGAGGGTGATAGCAGGGTCAAATTCTGTTTGTATTTCTGGTAGTGAGTCTGCATTTTTGTTTACTTCTGGATTTTAGTTTTAACCTCCGAAATATACCCTGCCCAAGCTGAAGACAATTTCATGTGCTGCTATGATTTGACAATGTGTCAGCTGAAATTTAGTTTAAATTTCTGTACTACCACAAAGCATGTTTCAACTTCATTTGTCATTATTCTTCAAAGGACAAGGCTGGTGTTACTGTATGTTTTTCATAGCCTCAACAAATCTAATTTAGCAAAGGTTACTCATCAGCAGTAAATAGTCAATTTGCTGTGGATTATTTTCCTCCATTCATAATAAAAATTTGCTGCTACAGCAAGTATGAATGGCATCAGTATGTCGTATGTAGCACTGACTCAAAAGAAACTACAGTGCCATTGTTCACTGTATGAAGGAACATGTCACCCGGTGTAACACAGGTTCGGTTCAGAGAAGTAAGATATCCAGTATTAGAGAGGGGATACACAAATAATAGTTGTTAGTATGATCAGTTTATTGTTAGTTTATATCTTGTGCTGATAATAACAAAAACACACAATATTGCCACCCTTATTCATTGAAGAGTGCGGCATGTTCCTGTAAAAACTACTTTGATATACATGACCAACACTAACTAACAGGGTCTTACTCACAGGATCATGCAGAACATGATGAATATGTTCCATAGAGCAATGAAGACCCGAAAGTACCGCAGACTGAGCAGGAACTCTCTGATGTTGTCGCCTGAAAGACAGATGGTGCTTTGAGAACTGCAGATATCAGTGACAGACATTTTTTCATTTTTCATTTCCACCTCTCTATCATTCATACAAACCTGTTGTTGGAGCTCTGGAGTCATCTTCAAACCCTTGACCCTCCTTCCTTTTTCTGCAAAACACCCACATTAACATCCTATTAATGCATTTGTTTGTTTTATTAGTACTTTTTAACAATGGTGTATGATCCTCTATAGTTGTGTATTGCAACTCTGCGCTGCATGGCATAGGTGTATGATGTGATTTTACTAACATACAAAAACATCTTTTAATATTTTGTCAGGATCGACATTATTGTTGATATTTTGCTGTTTCCCATTGCTCTGTATTGCTTGTGCACCACCCTGAGAAGGCCTATTTTGTTGCTGTCGTTTTTGGTGTCCTGTTTGCTTCTGCCTGTAGTTTTTCACTTCATTGGTTTCATAACATCTTTCCATAGGATTGCAGTGTAAAATTAGCCCGCTGGCTAACACTTGCACATTTACAAAGTTGTTGATTAATAACCTTATACCTGAATAAATTAATGATTTGTAGCCCTGATATATATGTGTAAAGAACTGGTAGCCAAACCTCTAGAACCTGTTTAATCGTTGTTAAATACACTGTGCATGTTTTTTGCAACATAACTTTACGTATCATGTAGAGACAAGCTCAGAAGACCAGTTGCAAGTGCTGATGAGGGGCTCCTGACACTATTTTGTTTATATAATGATTAATTAACATATTTAATGATGCCTTAATTAATATTATAACATTTCAGACATACTTACACACACATATATATACTTTGTTAGATTTATAAGTTTAGCCGAGTTTGTGTTGAAAAAAAAAATGTATAGACAATATGTACATTGGTAAGACGGGCAGGACTGATGAAATGGTGCTAAATAAAGACAAAAATGATAGCACAAAAAGTCAGCAAAAACCTAAGCTCCACTGGGTTAATCACTGATTATAATACTCACAGCTTGAAATTTAGCACAGCCCCTGCATTCACCAGTAAGGTCCTGGAAAATAGACAGACACATGAGACAATTTATTGACAGGTTTGTTGATAGTTTAGCTGCTGAGCTAACGTTAGCTGCTGAGCTGGCATTAGCACGGACCAAGTTAGCTTGTCATTTAGCCTGACACACTTCTATGTAACGCAGTGAACACTAACACAAATAGAGAATAAATCGCTTAAATAATCATGGTTCTCTATGTAAACACGGCAAACGGTGAATATATTACCCGAAAATCAAGAGATCTGCAATCATCTTGTTCAAATCACATCACAAAGATGTCTTACTTCCTTGTTGACGCACGCAATCAAGAAAGTGACCAATAACATTTCAGGTCCTTGACGAGCACAGTAATGTGGGGTTTTATACCCTGTTACTTACCTGTAAGGTACTACCTGCCAAAGACTGTGTGTGCCCACTGGCCAAAGCACATTAAATGACTTATGACTGGTTTTAGTTTCAGCAGCAGACAGTGGTAAATGTAATTGTTATCGGCATGGCTAAGGTGAAGGAGATGTGAGTTGTACAGCAGCTACAAAATTATGCCTAAAAGACTATAATCTATCAATTCTGTCACTTTCGGCTGTTCCCGTTAAGGGTTGCCACAGCGAGTCGTCACACTGAGGATTCGCATGTTGAAATTTACTATAATCCATCAATTAATTTATAAAAATATTATATTAAGGTTTCTAGATATAGCTATTATTAATGCTGGGTTATACCAAACTTGAAGGCCGCACTTTTAGACTATGAGGGTAGATATGGTGCTATTTTAGGTTGCCTACATTTTGTATAACCAATGTTGTGACCAAACCTACGCCCTTGTGAAATACTATGATATTTGTTTTAACAAGTGTCTGTCCATGGCTTCCCGGATGCTGTGGGGATTTTCAGTTTTGAGGCTATGATGCCCCCTGCTGGAGGCGGAGGTCTCTCAGGAATTAAAAGCAAAAGTAGAACATAACCTAAATACATTTAGTTAATTTTAAAAAATCATACATTTGGCTGCTATATAGGTTTGTTATTACCACCCCTTTAATCCAAACATTAACAGCCTCTGATATAATTATGTTGCCGAGTCAGTCATTTGACTGTGATCAGCCACGGTGCAGGATCTGATCCGGATTTGAGGATTTTATATTATTTTTTTTTAATGGAGCGGTGACTAAATCTTGGTCCATATCAAGCGTGGACACAAGCGCCACCGTGGCTCGGTAAAATGATTATGATGAACACAAGCCATTTTTAAAATTCTCAAGCAGCTGACGTGTAAACCTCCTGTCGCGTAAAACACGGGGCAGTTGGCACGGAGCGCAGATGGTGGTGATGATGCGGAGGCTGTGGAGATGAGCGGTATTAATAGGAGGGTTGAGTGCCACAGGGTTTCACTGTCGAGACCTGGGGGCTTGGTGGAGGGTCGGTGGACACGGTTGGGGGGCTTTTGATCCAGTCTGCGCAGTGGGAATTAAACAACAACAATAACAAGAGGGGTTCACTGGTTATCAGACAGCCAACATGGACGTGCTTACAGTTCTTAATCTGGGAGAGTTTGCCCACGTTTTCTCCAAAATGGGGATGTTTCCTGTGTTTGATCTCGCTTATTACATCGTGTCCATCCTCTACCTCAAGTATGAGCCAGGTCAGTGTATTTCAGATATTTCTGTTTAGCTTGAAGTGAACGTTTGGTTTACAAGTGAAGGATATGCTTTATTATTTAACAGCCTAGCCTTACTCTGCATGCTGTTTAAGCAGGTACATCTACACACTCCGCAGTTTGACTACTAGACAGGTGCGTAAACATACATTTATTTACAGTAGCAAAGTTAACGCGTGCAGAAAACATATTTGTAACATGTGAAAGTTATAATTAAACAACCAAGAAGTTGTCAAATGAAATATAATATTTGTATAATAATTGAATGTGCATCTTTGAGGTGTAACTATCCTATGCACCTCTTCACTAAGGATAGTACCTTCTCCTTATAAAGCATAACCTGTTACATAAACCCTTCCAGGAGCCTTACAGCTTTTATTGCTTAGTGAGAGGGAATGTCTGTTCCTGCACTGTAGGAAGTCACTGGAGCATATTAAACCTCTCAGCTAATACCAGATATTTTCACAGATTTTGCTTCTTTGAGCAACAGAGCCTGAGGAGGTAGAAACCCTAGACAAGGCCTGTGCATAGCTGGGACTTAGGCAATAAATAGAAGATCCTGAAATAGACTGTGCCAGTGGGCCTCTGGAGCCCCTCTGCTGCACTCTTGTAGGATACGGTTGGGCTATTTACACTGAATGTTTAAGATGAAACAAGCTGTTGAGATCCTGACATGACCTTGTTACACCTGAGTGTGGGCACTGAAAATACCATTTTGATGTCAGTTGACCGATTAGTGAAGGTGCTGGGAACACGAAACACCTCTCAACTTTATGCAAAATCTTCAGGTTTACAGCTGCACGGTGATATGTTTTGTGCTCAGACAACTGGGATGCTGGAACAAAAACATTATGTTTATGTCATTGTTGTTTAAATTTTCCTCATCAATCACGCTCCAGACCCTTAAAGTCAGATACTATTTTGATGGATAATTTTTTGTTTCATGATTTTACTTGTGGAAACTTGGATGATAATACAGGTATAGCTAGAGGAAGTTAATAGATAGGCTATTATATGGCTAAATATTTGCTAGCCAATGTATAATACCCACAATATATCTCCAAATATTTACAATATGTGTTGGTTATGTTTGTTGTGGTTAGTGTCCAGTGTTCAACAAAGTGAGAATGGAAAAAAATAGTTTTCTTTTTGATAGAAAATATTATAAACGATGTAATTTATTTGTTATTTATTGTCATCCTTAAAACCTTCTGTGTCTCCAGAGTGAGCTGGGTAAATTCTGATAGGTTGTCACTTCAGTTTGTTTGTGACTGAAAAACTCAGGGTGAAAGAAGTGAGTTTACTGGACCTCTAGATGATCCTCAGCTCTGCATGAGGAAAGCAGCTTGAGGCTGCACTGCCTACATCAACAACACATGGCTGTTGTATTGCTGCTGCATGTACTACATTTAAAGTGGGCAATGCAAACTACTTCTTGTACCTGCTTTGTTGTAATGTGATTTCAATACATCTCTGTATTAAAACAGTTGAATTTTCACACTTACAAGTGCATCAACATCTCAACTAAAATTCAGAATATTTCATCTTTTACTTAGTGTATTATTTAAGTTAGTTTGATTTATTAACTTGACCTAGTTCTTAATTTAAGTAAACATTTCCATAAACTTACCTTTATCTGTCCCTAAAGTTCTTCCTAAAACAGATGTAGCACTATGCTAGTGCACACATTTTCCAAAGTACAGTAGGTGAGGTACATGCACATTTACTGTATTCTATTAAATGAAGAAGTTGAAAGCAACGACAGTGCTTGTTTAATTTAAACAGCCATACAGGCAAATGCCTTTGTATGTACTTCAGAGTCAAATCCATTATTTCATCAGACCTCAGGTTAACTGTCATGACTGCCTAACTTTATCTCACTTCACCTCTCAGAACATTTCACAGTCAAATGACTCATGTTTCACCATTTGCAAGATCACCTTATATTTATCATTCGCTACGTGTGTCTCAGTAGAGAGCCCCAGTTCACACTACATGTTAAAGGAGCATATTAATGAGTTTTGAGGGTCAACATGGGCAGAGGAAGGAGAAACAACTGTAGGGAGGTCAAAGGTTAAGACAGTCCTGACAGTTACAAGGCAGAAGAAGCAGTTGAGCAGAATATATTTATAGGGCGGTATGTCTCAGGATCAGATTGCTTTCAGACTGAGAGCCAGTCACACCGTGACGCCCTCATCCACCTGTTCTTGTACATTTGTGCTCATGTCTTGATTACCTACTGTACATGAGAACATACTGTATATATAGCCATATCATATCATACTTTACATGTAATATTTGTCATACATGTTCATACAGATGTCATACATCCTCATAGGAATTACTAGGATAGGAGGGGTGAAAATCTGTCTTATTGCATTTTCTTACTTATTTTTGTAGATCAGCAAAGATGGAATGTACATTGCAACTAAGTACATTTACTCAATTACTTTTCCAAATATTTTTGTTTAATGCTACATAGTTTAAACTTCTACAGTATTTTAGAATGAAATGTTCTACTTTTCACCTCACAATGTATTTCACAGCTATAGATAGTAGATGCTTTTAAGACTTTACATACAAATCATATGATCGGTTCATAAATTATTTATATTTAGTGATTAAAGTATACAAATCAGTTGCAGCAAGCCTCAACTTAGTCACCTACAACATTAAAATACATACAGCTGTAATATAATACAACACTGAGAGGTGTCATCCCATAGAAACTGGGAAACATATGGAACAAGAATTGATACACTGGAGGTGCTCTGGGCCTCGACAGCAAATGATGAGCTCAATTTAGATACAGTAAACAGCATAAAACCTTTATATATCCATCAAGCTTTATCTATCTAGTGTCTAGTGGTTTGTCCTTAGGGGCTACCATAATTTTGAAATGCAATATTAATGGACACCCACTCAGACACAAGTAATTTCTATATGGACTGTATAAATGTTTAACACTGTTTAATAAGTCAGTGTCATGCTAAGTATATTAAATGTCTTATTTATGATATATACAGTGGGTACGGAAAGTATTCAGACCCCCTTAAATTCTTCACTCTTTGTTATATTGCAGCCATATGCTAAAATCATTTAAGTTCATTTTTTCCTCATTAATGTACACACAGCACCCCATATTGACAGAAAAACACAGAATGTTTGACATTTTTGCAGATTTATTAAAAAAGAAAAACTGAAATATCACATGGTCATAAGTATTCAGACCCTTTGCTGTGACACGCGTATATTTAACTTAGGTGCTGTCCATTTCTGCTGATCATCCCTGAGATGGTTCTACACCTTCATTTGAGTCCAGCTGTGTTTGATTATACTGATTGGACGTGATTAGGAAAGCCACACACCTGTCTATATAAGACCCTACAGCTCACAGTGCATGTCAGAGCAAATGAGAATCATGAGGTCAAAGGAACTGCCTGAAGAGCTCAGAGACAGAATTGTGGCAAAGCACAGATCTGGCCAAGGTTACAAAAAAAAATTTCTGCTGCACTTAAGGTTCCGAAGAGCACAGTGGCCTCCATAATCCTTAAATGGAAGACGTTTGGGACGACCAGAACCCTTCCTAGAGCTGGCCGTCCGGCCAAACTGAGCTATCGGGGGAGAAGAGCCTTGGTGAGAGAGGTACAGAAGAACCCAAAGATGACTGTAGCTGAGCTCCAGAGATGCAGTCAGGAGATGGGAGAAAGTTGTAGAAAGTCAAAGAAAGTCAACCATCACTGCAGCCCTCCACCAGTCGGGGCTTTAGGGCAGAGTGGCCCAACGGAAGCCTCTCCTCAGTGCAAGACACATGAAAGCCCGCATGGAGTTTGCTAAAAAACACATGAAGGACTCCAAGATTGTGAGAAATAAGATTCTTTGGTCTGATGAGACCAAGATAGAACTTTTTGGCCTTAATTCTAAGCAGTAGGTGTGGAGAAAACCAGGCACTGCTCATCACCTGTCCAATACAGTCCCAACAGTGAAGCATGGTGGTGGCAGCATCATACTATGGGGGTGTTTTTCAGCTGTGTGAGAAAAAAGGTCCATTCTTTTGAAAAGAGAAGACTAATAAGAAGATATGTTTCTCTATATGAAATTTATTATGCATTAACGTATCAAAATAAGCATGTGCACATGGATCTCATCTGTTTAGGATAAACAGAAAAGACTAAATTCAACTTAGCAGTACACAACATTTATATGAAAGAATGTTGCTCTCTGATTGGTCCAAAAACTGTTGGGGAGGAATTGTGGTTTAAACTTAATTCTCCCAAGATTGGTCCTTCAGTCCGTCCATCCTTCTCCTCTGATCCAATGGTTGTAAACAACACCCTAAAAGGGAGGAATACTTGCCCTGTCTTAATTCTTACATAGACACCTATGTCTTTCTTTGTTTCCAAGAAACTTTTGGCACTAACCCCCCTTTGTAGCATATGGCTGCAATATAAGAAAGAGTGAAAATTTTAAGGGGGTCTGAATACTTTCTGTACACCCTGTAAATAAAACGCCCAAATACTTTATGCAGTACACAAATCTTGTCTGTTCTGCTCAAGTCATTTGCTGAGTTGGTTAAATGTCAACTGACAATTGACTGTAGTTGTCCTGAGTCAATATTAGGTTATGATAAAAAGATGCATTATCAGGACGTGGGCTGTGCCGGTTGACTGGGTGTGGACAAAGATACAGCGCGCGCGCGCGCGCACACACACACACACACACACACACGGGCTCCTGTGATAATGGCTTCTGAAGGTCAGCGTTAACAGTTTTCCACTGTAGGACCAAACAGAAGGTTTTTAAATTTCATATTTATGGCAGTGATTAATCAGACCCTTAAAAACAAAGGAACAAAGAGACTGAACTCTTTTTTTTGGTCAAAGCCCAAAAACCTTTAGATCTAACTGTAGGCCAGTTGGATTTAGAAGGTATTTACCTGATACCACGCTCCAACTAAGGCAAAAAGTGACAAAGCATGGGAAGGACACACAACAGGGGTCTGTGGGTTGGGGGGTTGAACTGCGGCCAGCGTTTATGCCGTATGTGCCCTAACCATTCAGCCACCATTGCACCCTCAGTGAGGTATTTCTGTAGCTCTGGTGTGAAACTAGTCTTCACATTGGCAGTGCATGATACTAACTGTATGACATCTAATATTTAACAAGCATCAAACACATCTTAATTATATATATACACACAAACAGACATACGCAAGTCACCTCCCTCACCTGTACCAACACTCCTAACTCGTATGTTTACCAAAACAAATCCCTCATCAAACACAAGCCATGATATTTTCTCCTTCACACACTGAATGCTCATCCTGTGTGTTGCAGGCTCAGTGGAGGTTTCTCGCCGGAGTCCAGTGGCCTCCTGGCTCTGTGCCATGCTCTACTGCTTTGGTAGCTACATCTTGGCAGACATCATGCTTGGAAGCAGCCCCATTGACTACTTCCAGCACAACAGTCACATCCTGCTGGCCTCAGCTGTCTGGTGAGAAACTCCTCAGAATGACTTTACCTTTGTTTTAAGGTCACATACCTGCTTTTTTTAAATTCATGCTTTTCATCATTTTTTTCAAACTGTATATATGATAGAACCGTCCCTTTCCAACCACTGTTTAAAGGCCGTTCCCTTCAGCTTTTTGCAGGAAAAGAAACAAATCTTTAAAGTTTGGAGACAGCTAGTTTTGTTTTTCCAGTTTATAAGGTTGCAGGGAGTTTGTACTGAAGGGCTCAAAGCATCTGAAAAGGATTTTAGCAAACTTAAATGAAACATAGTTTTTAAGAAAAAAAAACTCAACCAGTCTCTTGGAATCACCTGTAAACCTTGGCAGGGCCATAGGCTTCCATCAAGCATTCTAAGATAATGCCCACTGCATTTTTATTTCCCAAACACTTTGTGAGATTTCTAGTCCCTGGTTGGAGTTTTATAAGCAGATTTTATACCTGATGTATTTGACTTGGACAAATTTTAGGGCAACAAAGATAAATACAGCTAAAAAGATAAACACAATTTCAGCGGCACTGCGGAGAAGCCTTGAAACATGATTTAGGGGGTGACTTCGCCTCAGGACCTGGCCCTGGACTTCAGTTTTATTAGTTTATCACAACTATTACAGAAGACAAAGATCAGTGAAAAATTTCCCCCACATGGTCTGTGGATTATGTGACTCTATTTCTGTCCCTGTGTGCTTTTGAAAATTTTAATGTAAATTTTAGATGCCTTTCACCTCAGTCATAGCAGGGTTGGCAGCAGAAGTCTCAACAGCAGAAAGACAAAACTATCTGTGTGGTTAGATACAACACTGCTCAGTGTAGGAGAGAAACCTAATCATCAGAGCTGAACATAAACTACAGAAGTGAAACTTGAAGAATTTTTTAATCCTCATATGTCTTATTTTCTGCTGATTTTTTTGTCCAATATAAACACAGGTACCTCATCTTTTACTGCCCGCTGAACCTCTTTTATAAATGTGTGGCCTTCCTGCCCGTCAAGCTGGTGTTGGTTGCCCTGAAAGAAGTCGTCCGCACTCGTAAGATCTCCGCCGGCGTTCACCACGCCCACCACGCCTATCACCATGGGTTCTTCATCATGGTCATTGTTGGCTACGTCAAAGGTCGGTGTCTCATGACATCACAGTGATTTGCTTCTATTCACTGTCCCAGACATGTCCACTGTTCACTTAGGCGGTTCACTGGCAGCAGAAGCTGTGACACAAGCTATTTAAACTTAGCCTTTTACTCCATCACTGAATGAGAAGTGATTTGTTATGACTACAAACCACATAGTTCACAAACGAGAGCGGTGACTGCTGGTCTCACTGATGTGTGCAGACTTTAGTAAATTTGAATTTGGGGACTTTAGCTACTTTATTCTAAAAGGTCTCATAAAAAATCTACAATCTTTTTGTGCTAACATTAGCTACTATACCTTGAAGAAAGTATATGGATGAATCTAGTGATTAATTTTTCTAATCAATCTATTAATCCTTGTAAAATGTATAGAAAAACTGAAAACTTCTATTGCAATTCCAAAAACCATAGTGTGATGATATGGTGTTACTAATTTTGTCCAGCCAACTCAAAGAAATATATTGGCACTTCTGCTTGAATAATGACTGGTGCCTTTAATTATTTTTCCAAGTTGGGGTGAGGTTTTTCTGATCTGCTGATTGTTTTGGCTGTAGAGGAAAGTCCTGAATGCTTGGTGAACCTGCGCACTGTGGCTGCAGCTCTCTGGGTTGACAGCTGTATTCAGTGAGTGACAGAGAGCTGCTCAGATAAACCTGGGTTTATATTTGATTCATTTGAGAATTAAGTCTGAGTGAATTCAGTGATGTCTTCACAACCCGCCTTTGTTGCACACCTAAACCACATATTTCCATAGAAATGTATATAAAAGCTCATCTTGTGTTGTACTGTTGTACTGCCTAAATGGTGGGGCCCTGCAGGAGCCCATGTTGAAAATATGGTAGAAAAAGTGAACCAACATTAGAGCAGTGATACAAGACGCAGACTTTTTAGTCAGCATTTTATTCCAACTGTCTATTTTTATCTTCCCAGGGTCTGGAGTGGCTCTCATGTCCAATTTTGAGCAGCTGCTGCGCGGTGTGTGGAGGCCCGAGACCAATGAGATCCTCAGCATGTCATTGTAAGTATTTCCTGCTCTGCAGCTGCTGATGGACAAATATACTGATTACTGCTTCGTCAAACATGGAGATTGGTGTGTAACCAAAACTCGGAGACAAAACTAGGATTTAAAAGTGAAGATGATTCAAATTAAATATAAAACACAGTCAACACACACAACAGGTTTGTTAAAACTGTTACTGTATATGTAGAATGGACTTTGGCGCCCCCAAGTGGTAGCATCCATTGACTGTAACGTCAGATGAAAACATCGTACCCCCAAGATTGTATAGGATTTATCTTGACAAAATTTTATACTGAGCTTTATTTTTGACAAAGTTTAAAACAGGTTTGTTCAAGCATCAGAGGATATTCATACTGCTATCAAAACATTTAACTTTCAATTCAAATTAAAATGCAAATTTACAAGTCAGTTTTAAATTTCACACTTTGTGTCATTAAGATTTATGTTGATCTAGAAAAGTGGTTAAATTAACTCCATAAATATAAATAAGCATAACAGAGTTCAGCTGTTTTTATCTTAGGCTCCAGCTTCAATTTTAGTCTGAGTAAACAATCCCTACATCTCATTATCATTGTTTTGATCCCTGCCACAGTCAAATGTTTTGCTCTCAGCTGGTCTTTATTCTCTCCAGCCCCACCAAAGCCAGTCTGTACGGTGCCATCCTCTTCACCATGCAGGAGGCTCACTGGCTGCCAGTGTCCAAGAGCATCCTCATTCTCGCCTTCACACTTTTCATGGCCACAAGCAAGGTGAGTGAGCTCACTGCTACTTTGTGGGGTGTAGCTGACAGCGTTGCTGTTCTCGTCTAGACCATCTTCGCCTCTTTAGGCAAGCAAATCAATTTGTGACTTTTGTTACATTTAATAAAAATATTTTTAAAAATGTGTTGTCTTGAGTTGGTGTTTGAAATCAGGAGATCAGAGTTGGAGGTAAACATTTCAACAATATAAATAATAAGTCATAAACAAGGAGGTCTATTAAAAATGTTTGTTAGGCCTCAGCAATATACAAAATGCATTTGGATCACAAACACTGCATGCATGCCTATGCAAAAATGTAGTGGTATACTATTCAAGTGGTACTCCACCTAATTATTACTTCACTTGGAAGACTTGTGAGAGACACATTTAAAGTATAGTTAAAGATTAATGCTTAAGATTCAAACTGAAATGTCCTGTTGTATGAGTCAAGCTGCAAAAATGCTGGATTCTTCAATTCCCATGAACAGTATCTTTGGTCAGATTGTTCCGGGCTGGAGGACAGAGGAACTATCATATAAAAGACATGGGATGTATCCATAGTTGTTTACACAGGCTAAGTAGTACCCTTCACAATGAGTAAACTTATCTGTAGTGTGATGTGTAAAGTCAGTGCAGTGCCCCTTTAAATATCCTACACTGAGGCTGATCTCTTCTAAATGTCACTACCTTCCTGTCCTCTCAGGTGGTGATGACTGCCCGACACTCTCACGGCTCCCCCTTTACCCTCATTGAGTCCTGGGTTTGCCATCTGCTGTTCGGCTCCCCTCTGGGCGACTCTGAGGAGGACCACCATCACCCTCCCGCCGCCACCCCTCCGACTTCACCCCTCAAAACCAAGGAGGAGCTGAGTGAAGGTGCACGCAAGAGGAAGGTTAAGAAAGCAGAGTAGGACGCCACGCTGCATCAGTGAAACTGCATCTGACTCGCTCTCATGGCCTCCACATGACAGGACTTCCCTTTCCTTTCTAGGGAAAGGGGCAGTTTGATGTGTTACCAGATGAGACCCTTTCTATCAGAGCAAAATGGTGCTTTCTGCACTCTACATAGCAGGAGGACTCTGTAAATAGCACAGCAAATTTTTCACATTTAAACCAAACCTGGACCTTTTAAATCTATTTATTTGTGTGTCTGTGAACATCTGTGCTCAACACTGTCGTTTTAAGACGGCCTTTGTCAATAGTTGTCAGTGGTGTTCTTTTAGTCCACCAAACCTTATTTCAGTACAGAGAGAAACAGAAAATACAAATAAATCTGACTTTCAATCAGAAATTCAAATGTGAATGAAACATTATGTGAAAGACCATTGCTGCTTTTTACATTGAGATGAAGATGACTTCATGTATTTGAATAAAATCACGAGAAACATTGCGTCCAGTGGTTTTATAATTTTCCTCTCTAATTTATTTTTACGTTACTCAGTAGTGATAAAGTTGTGAGTTATCTCCGCTTTAGTTTAGGACCAGTTTTAGATGAAGCAGTACATACACTACTAGAGTATTACATATTTTATTATACATTAGAACAATACACCAACAGTTTTTAGGTGTTTGATCACAGTAAAATAATTACATAAAGATGTTTTAGGGTTCCAGTGACTTTTAGATGCTACAGTCCATCTTTGGCTTTAAGGAACTTCACTGAGAATGTGAAGCTCGGACTAGTATGTATAAAATGACCAAAATGTGCCTATGTTTTATTGTTTCTTGTTTTCCAAAGCAGAGAACACAGGGATTGACTTAAAACTGAAACATTTATTTTTAAAGTTTATACTAAGGCTGGAAGAAGTATTTGGGAAACATTCACAGCATTAAACAAGAAGCAAAGTGGTTCTGGCTTTGAATCTACCAGCTGATGCTTTTTCTGCCTGGGTTTCCTGTGGGACATGTAGTTTAGGTTCACTGGTGACTGTAGGTGTGAATCTAACCTATCCGTGTACCCACCTCAGGCTCAGCTGGGACTGCCTCTAGCTCTCCTCTGACCCCCTCCAGGTTATGC